TGATTCACTTCTATTGATCAATTTGTCTCTTTTTATGCCAATATTGTGCACTTTTTATTACTGTATCTCTGTAGTACAGCTTGAATTCAGGGACAGTGATACCTCCAGAAGTTCTTTTATTGTACAGGATTGTTTTAGCTACCTGAGGGTTTTTTTTCCCCTCATGTAAAATTGTTCTTTCAAGGTCTGTTAAGAATTGTATTGGAATTTTGATGTAATTGCCTTGAATCTGTAGATTGTTTTTGGCAGGATGGCCATTTTTATATTGTTAATTCTACCATGAACATGGGAGATGTTTCCATCTTCTGATCTCTTCTCCAATTTCTTTCTTCATAGACTTGAAGTTTTTGTCATACAAGTTTTTGTCTTTCACTTGCTCGGTTAGGGTTACCCCAAGATATTTTATATTGTTTGTGGTTATTGTAAAGGATATTGTTTCCATGATTTCTACCCACCCCCCTCTTTTTGAGACAGGGTTTCTCTGTATTGCTTTGGAGCCTGTCCTGGAACTCACTCTGTAGACTAGGCTGGCCAGATATCCCAACCTACCTCTGCCTCCTGAATGCTAGGATTAAAGGCATGTGCCACCAATGCTAAGGTGTTTCCATGATTTCTTTCTCAGTCAGTTTGTCATTTGTATGTAGGAGGGCTACTTGTTTTTTGGGTTTTGTTTTTGTTTTTAGTTCATCTTGTATTAAGCCATATTGCTGAAGGTGTTTATCAGTGGTTGGTATCACTGTTAATTTTTGTGGTCACTTATGTATACTATTTGAATGTCATCCGCAAATAACGATACTTTGCCTTCTTCCTATCCATTTTGTATCTCCTTGATCTCTTTCAGCTGGCTTATGTCTCTAACTAAAAGTTCAAGTACTATATTGAATAGGTATGGAAAGAGTGGACAGCCTTGCCTTGTTTCTGATTTTAGTGGAGTTGCTTTGAGTTTTTCGCCATTTAATTTGATGTTGGCTATAGACTTGCTATAAATTGCCTTTTTGATTAGGTATGTTCCTGTATCCCTGATCTCTCCAAGACTTTTATCATGAAGGGGTGTTGGAGTTTGTCAAAGACTTTATTTGGGGGGGAGGCATCTAGTGAGATGATCATGTAATTTATTTTCTTTCAGTTTGTCTATATGATGGATTACATTGACTGATTTTTATGTGGTAAACCATCCCTGCATCTCTGGATGAAGCCTACTTGGTCATGGTAGATGATCTTTTTGATGTGTTCTTTTATTCAGTTGCAAGTATTTTATTGAGTATTTTTGCATCTATGTTCATAAGGGAAATGGGTCTATAATTCTTTGTTGAATCTTTGTATGGTTTGGCTATCAGGGTAACTGTGGCCTCATAAAGTGAATTTGTCAATGTTCCTTTTGTTTCTATTTTGTGTAATAATTTGAGGAGTAATGACATTAACTCTTCTTTGAAAAGCTTCTCCTTAGGAGACTTTTAATGACTACTTCTGTTTCCTTAGGGGTTATAAATGTATTTAAGTTGTTTATCTGATCTTGTTGTCAATTGGAAACATCTATTTCTTTAAGATTTTCAAATTTTGTGAGTTCAGGCTTTTAAAGTATCACTTGATGATGATTTGGATTTTCTCTGTTGTTATGTCCCTCTTTTTCTTTCTGATTTTGTTAATTTGGATAGTCTCTCTGTGTTTTAATTAGTTTGGATAAGGGTTTGTCTATGTTGTTGGTTTTTCTCAAAGAACCAACTCTTTGTTTCATTGATTCTTTGTAATGTTCTCTTTGTTTCTATTTTATTGATTTCAGCCCTCATTTTATTTCCTGCCCTCTACTCTTCTTGGGGGGGGGGTGTCTTGTTTTCCTTCTAGAGCTTTCAGGTGTGCTGTTAAGTTGCTAGTATGGGATCTCTCCATTTTTTGTTTTGTTTTGTTTTGTTTTAATGTAGGCATTTAGTGCTATTAACTTTGCTTTTAGCACCACATTCATTGTGACCCATAAGTTTGGTTATGTTGTAGATTTGTTTTCATTGATTTTTTAGAAGTCTTTAATTTTTTTCTATCTTGACCCAGTAGTCATTGTTAGATTTCCACGAGTTTGTAGGCTGCCATTTTTGTTGTTGAAGTCAGCTTTAATCCATGATGGGATGGAGTTATTTCAATTTTCTTGTATCTATTGAGGTCCATTTGCTTGGAAAATCTTTTTCCAACCCTTTACTCTGAGGTAATGTCTATCTTTCATGCTGAAATGTGTTTCTTGTATGCATCATAAGTTTGGCTCCTGTTTTCACATCCATTCTGCTAGTCTATATCTTTTTTATCAGGGAATTGAGTCCATTGATATTGAGAGATCTCAGTGGTCAAAGATTGTTAATTCTTGTTATTTTGTTGTTGTTGTTGGTGGTGGTGGTTTTTTTTTTTTTTTTTGTGTGTGTGTGTGTGAATGTATGTATGAATGTATGTATGTCTGCTTCCCTTTTGGTTTTGCTGGTGTGAGATATTTATTTTTTGTGTTTTCATGTGTGTAGTTACCCTCCTTGGGTTGGAGTTTTCCTTCTAGTATCTTCTGTAGGGCTAGAATTTGTGGGTAGCTATTGTTTAAATTTGACTTTATCATGGAATAATTTGTTTTCTCTATCTGTGGTGATTAGAAGTTTGTTGTGTAAAGTAGTCTGAGTTGGCATCCCTGGTCTCAGTCTTCAGGGCATCTATCCAGGCTTTTATGGCTTTGAGAGTCTCCATTGAGAAGTCAGGTGTAATTCCATTAGGTTTGCCTTTATATGTTACTTGCCCTTTTTCTTTTGCAGCTTTTAATAATCTTTGTTCTGTATATTTAGTGTTTTGACTATTATTTGGCAAGAGAATTTTTTTCTTCTCCAGACTATTTGGTGTTCTCTAAGCTTCTTGTACTTTTGTAGGCACGTTCTTCTTTAAGTTAGGAAATCTTTCTCCTATGATTTTGCTGAAAGTATTTTCTGGACCTTTGAGCTGGGATTCTTCTTCTATTCCTACTATCCTTAGGTTTGGTCTTTTCATAGTGTCCCAGATTTCCTGGATGTTTTATGTCAGGAAATTTTTAGATTTAATGTTTTCTTTGACTGATGTATCTATTTCTTTCATCATATTTTCAGTTCCTGAGATTCTCTCTTCCATCTCTTGTATTCTGTTGTTGATGCTTGTGTCTGTAGCTTCTGTTCCCTTACCTAGATTTTTTTATTTCCAGAATCCAGTCGGTTTATGTCTTTATTGTTTGTATTTCCATTTTCAGGTCTTAAGCAGTTTCACTCATTTCATTCAACTGCTCTTTCTAGCTTTCTCTAATGGATTTGTTCATTTTCTCTAATTTTTTTTTGTTCGGCTTTTCCTCAATTTCTTTAAGGGAATTTTTCCTTTCTTCCTTAATACTGTTTAGACTTCTCCATTCAGAGCTGTTGACCTTGTTCTCTTGCTGTTTCTAACCATGCCCAGATCTATACAAAGTAGCCTTCTTGTCGAATCAGAGAAAATATTGACAACTTCCTTGGTACGATATTTGAAGTAACAAAACTCTTAGAGCCATTATCTATAAAAGCACTTTCCTATGTTTGTATTACCACTAATAACCAACCAGAGGGCATTCTTTAAGCAAGCCCCTCACCCATATGTGCCATTCACCACTTACGCACGGCTTGTCTCACTACTACATCACCACACTTCACTCTTCTTTATCTTCAGTCTCACACTGGCTGTGTGCTAGAGAAACTGCCCCGTGATTCATGGTCCCTCTGTGCTTCTGTCAGTCTTAGAGGGTAAAGAGGAGTTGAGTGGTGAGGAGTAGTGGTAAGTGAGTTAACTGTGTCTTTCATTCTTCAACTCTAATACCAACTCACAAGTAATCCAGCATGTATATATTTGTTATTTACGTTATATAACATACTTGCTAAGTAATCCCAGAAGACACAGTGTAGAATTTCTGATGAAAACATCTCGGGCTTATAGTCAGACCTGAGTGCATTGTCAGTCACCAGCTATGAATCACTGGGCAAAACACTGACCATCAGGCTTCATCTTCCTTGCCAATGAGATAATAGCTCCTATCTCACTGAACATAGTACTATGCTTATTACAATGAATGCCAGAAAATGTTAGCTATTATTCATATAGTTGCTGATTTTAAAAGTAATTAAATATTTTTGTTTTCTGTAAGTTACTACATCTAGTCATCCCTCATCTGAAGGCCGTTGGTTCTAAAATTCTCAGATACCAAAGTCTTTGGTTATTCAGATACCTTAATAAAAATGGGTAGTACTGGAGACTAGAGAGATAACTCAGCTGTTAAGAGCACTTGCTGCTCTCAAAGAAGACCAGGGTTCAGTTCCTGCTTCTGACCTCTAAGCGTGTTAGATATACAGATGGTGTACCTACATACACACAGGCACTCACACCTACACATAAAATAAAAAATTTGAAAGGCCAGTCAATGGTGGCCCATGCCTTTAAACCCAGCACTTGGGAGGCAGAGGCAGGCAGATCTCTGTGAGTTCAAGGCCAGCCTGGTCTACAGAGCTAGTTCCAGGACAGCTAGGGATGTTATACAGAGAAACCCTGTCTCTAAAATCAAACAACAACAACAACAACAACAACAACAACAAAAAAAAATGGATAGTACTTTACTGTAACTCTCTATATATCTTAATTATCTCTAAATTACTTGTGATACTATAGTACAATAAACTTCCCAACATCACTAATGATCACAGAGCACAATGATACTTATCAGGTTACAAAGCTATTAGTATGTAAAGTTGTCAGATCTCGTGGGACACCTATTTACTAGCCAAAATTATTTCAGAAATAGTAAGATGTATTGTTTAAGGTGTAGACACACATATATAGACAAGCTAAGGTTTGACATAATGGGTTTAGTATTTCCTAATTCAAGATTTTACTTAGTGAAATTATAACAAATCTCAAAATGAAAGGCACTAATTATTTTCAAAGCTGAAACATGATTCATATAGTTTTCCTTTTATTTCCCCCCTACCAATTAGCAAAACCTCCGACGGCAAGTGTAAAGGAGTGAGTATCCATTTAAATCCTCAAGAAGACAGCTGTAATCACCCTCAAGCTCTGCTCTCAAGTCAGGAGAACAGCAGGTACCTATGCACATCCTGAGTTCAGAATGTTTACGGCAACTAAGATTCAAAAATAGAAACAGTTCAAATAGGATGTTATACACAGAAGTTGGAAACTCCTTCTTGAGCTGGATCACTGCCATTTTTATGATTTTGTTTGGTAACTTGTCAAGGTGTGTCCTGTGACCCTTTCTGGGGTCGTGGGCTTTGCTTTTCCTGGAAGCCAAGCACCTGATCCTTAGGGTATTCCCACATACTGATGTGGGTGTCTTTATCTCTTTCCCAATTTCTGATTATCACTAATTTCCATACCTCACTTGGCTTCCTGTGACTCCCACTCCCCTCCACACCCACTTATTTATTTGTTTGTTTGTTTGTTTAATTTTTGAGGTAGGGTTTCTGTGTGTAACCCTGGCAGAATATTCTGGAACTCACTCTTAGACTCAGAGATCTGTCTGCCTCTGCCTCCCAAGTACTGGCCTTAAAGGCGTGCTCCACCACCGTCTGACTTCACTCTTTCTCTTCTTTCTGTCCTCCACTGCAGTGATTTCCATCTCTAACTCATCATTCCCCTCATCCATGCATCCTCACCACATCCCTTATATGGCAAATACTAGCCAAAGGTTTGTACAACTGAATGTAGCATGATGATGTAACTGAACATTGAGTCACCGAACTAAAAACAAAATGATTCCAAGGATCCAACTGCAATCTGGGCCAAATGCAGCTGGCCATTTGCATTGTATAAGTCATTCTAATTGCACTTCCTCACCTAGTCATGCTGTCAGTGGCTGCTTTCCAACCTAGTAGCAGTTGAGCGGTGAATCAGGCCCAGAAGTCAAATGGCCCACCAAGCCACAGATAATTACAAATTTATCCTGTTTTTAAAGCAATTGTGATTAGTAAGTAAGATCACTACAATTTTGACAGTTTCATATACCTACAGCGTTGCACTATAACCTGACATAGCATTGTGTGTTCTGTGGGCACAAGTGACATTGGGAAATTCTACTTTATATCAAAGACCCAACAGTGACAACATATGTTTTACTGGCTAGTCCCTCCTAAGCCCTGAATTTCTACCCTCTTCCCTTGCCTTTTCAGTAGATGTCCTATAGATTGCTTAGCTCTGTACTGCTTATTCAGGTACCTCATTCAGCATTCAACATCTTCTATGTCCTCCTTCTGGCAGTAATGTGTATTAATTGACACTTGGCATTTTCTCCCAATGCATATGTCTAAAATCCTTAATTCAATAATAGACAGTTACCAGAGGCCCTCAGGAAAAAAATAGTCTTGGGAAAGGCATTTTATAGTCAATAGGATTGTAAATACAGGCAACTTAATTTTTTTTTAAACAAAAAAACTGCAGCTAATATTTTCTTTTCTTCTGCAATGGAAGTGAATTTGCAAGGCCTTCTGTTTATTATCTGGTTTCCTAGTCTCTTCTTTCCTTTTGTCTTGAAGCTTGTTTTTTCATATTATGTATAAAAGAAACTGAAACACTCATTTTTTTAAAATTCAGAATTTATGTTACCCCTATGTAATGATAATCTAATCTGATCCTCTTCAAATTACTATTATCATCATGGCTAATCCACCAGGAAATAGCAAAGTTGAGTTTGTAGCAGCATGCCATCCTACAACAATACTTTTTAATGTTAGTCCAGAAGTTTAAAGGGAAAATCATACTACTTCTAGAATAGCACACATATGCATTATAAAAGAGGGAAAGATAATAATGTGAATTTTTTTGAGACAGAATAACATAGAATGCCATGATTTGGGGGAATTCTCTGAGATCTGTACCCAAGGTTCTTAAGTGTAGAGTTACTTGCTTTACTGTTGGGATCTATAATGGGAAAGGCTAACCATGTAATCACACTGTAGGAAGAAAATAACAGACTGGGAGCTGGGGTTGTTTTTACAGGAAGTTGTTTTTAAAACATTCCGCAGAAATGCTCAAAATATTGTTTATTTAGATCTGCATATGCAAGATTACCCACCTGAAACTCTTCCATTTTTCTTTTTGCCCAAGTTCCAATAGCGCAGCTCGGAATTCACTCACCCAAGAAGCCTCCTAAATAGCCATATTGCAAAATGCCCTTCTCTCTGGATATTAAAACTGTATCCCTTTTAAAATAAATATTTTCTTTTAAGAGCCAGATGTGTGGTTTATACATGTAATTCCAGCACTTGAGAGGCTAACACAGGATTGCCACAAGTTCAAGGCCACTCAGGATGTTTAACCTGTCTCAAAAATAAAAAATAAATAAAAATTAAAAAGTGGTATGACCTCATTTTTTAAAATGGTAAATATACAGAATAATATATATATAGCCAGATGTGATGCTGACTCCTGACTCACTCTGGAGAACCTTGAGGCAAGAGGATCACCTTGAGTCTGAAAAGAAAAACCAAAATTTATATCGTAAGCAGATCAAGGTCATTCTTGACTACAATCTTCCAAAGCATCAAGGTAAATTATTTTTGGCAACACTTTGTAGACAAGGAGTGAAAATCTATACTAAGCACAAGACCTGTGTATCCAGGCCAGCTGTCAAAGCGAAGAAGTGACAGGTTGAAGGCATATAAGGCACATTTTTGTAGGAGTGTAGGTAGTGGGTGATGTTGACCAGTCTTGAGACAGAGAAAAAACAAGGAGGAGCAATCAAGTGGGCAGTAACAAATGGAAGTGTTTGCCAACTGGTTGAAGGACAGCATTGAGGCCAAAAAGTAAAGGCCTAAGTGTTATCCAGTACCCCATACTGAATATGCCACCCATGCTTGTTCTTCATGGTAGTAACAGGAAATGGTCACACTTTCTAAAGCTAACTTTCTTCTCAGAGGGCAAGCCACCATTACAGCTCTGCCGCAAGCACACTTCTAAAGAGACTCAAGAAAATGCTTTGTGCATTGTGGTTGACCCATGTATTTTCCAGAACTAGTTTATTAACTGACAAAAAAAAAAAAAAAGAAATGTACTCATTTATTTCTTATTTCCACTCCATTTCCTCCTTTATATTATACTTTCTTGTGCCCTGCATAAAAAAACACAAAAGAGGATAATAAACACTTTTGATAAGTCTGCATTTATATGTAATACAAGCATCCTGATTATTAGCATATGAATTCTTGATAGTTTGGTTATCCATCATGCCATCATCTAAATGAAAATATCCTGTGATTTTTTTTAGATTTTATTTATTATGTATACAACATCCTGCTTCCATGTATATTTGCACACCAGAAAAGAGTAGCCTATCTCATAATGGATGGTTGTGAGCCACCATGTGGTTGCTGTGCATTGAACTCAGGACCTCTGGAAGAGCAGCCAGAGCTCTTAACTCTGAGCCATCTCTTCAGGCCCCCTACTGTGACTTTTTTTTTAATGTTCCCTGTTGACAAAACAAAAACAAAAACAAACAAACAAAAAAAAAAAGCAAAAAAATGGCAAAGTTAGAGGAAACCCAGGATTCCATGTTAGTTAAAAAGCCAATTCATTTGAACACAGTAAAATCTAAAATTCAGACTTTTGACATTACTTCACAGAAATGCAGGAAATTTTGTTTGGGGATGATGAAGCTTCAACAGCATCCAGCAAATTCTGCATTTAGCCTGCCTGTTTGGTGGTCACTCCCCTGAACCCTTACTTTATATTAAAATCACACACCATATAGTTAGAGGACAAGACTGAGTGGACAGAAAATTGACTTGAAAAAAGATGTTTTCCCAGAATTCTTAATATGGAACGAGTCCATTAAAGAACATTAAAAAAAATGCAAAAACATGAAGACAAGTAATAATTATTCTGTGTAACAGAACACACTCTAAACAGATTGGAGAAAAGCATATGTAATATCAGTTGTCACCTTCTCTACGGAGTAGAAGTAACTTGCTTATTTAAAAATACTTTAAATGTTCATGGGGGAAAGTTCCCAAGACTACTCAAGAGAACTGTCTGAAACTAAACACTGGGTTTCTTCTACTTTAAAAGTTCTTTGTACCATGCTCTGTATTTTTCAAATGAAATAAAAGAACAGTTGTCATAAAATAACTTACCTTTGAATAAATTCAGGATACACTTAAAGTACAACCTTTAAGAGGCATCAGTCATCACATGCTAAGTTGGAAGTCAGGTCAGAGAGGTAGTGCTGAGGTAGACTGCAAAGCAGGGCAGCTATGGGAAACCTATGACACTGTAAAAACAAAAGCTAGAAGAATTGATTTACAAACTTTTCCCTGTTAAAAACATGATAGTAATTGAGGTCAATTAAACTGATTTGAATATTATGGTACAGAGTTGAGGACCACTGACTCAATCCTCAGTATAATTAAATTTTTTTACTGAAGCTGCTTGCAGGGAAGCCTCCATTAAGCTACATTGAAGATGTGCTGCCCAGAAGGTGAAGGGAAGGGTTTTTAAAGATGAAGACTACAATTACCTTGTTTCTGTGGAATTTATAGCTGCCTGAGAAACTGTTTCATTCCCATTGCCAACATGAAGATCCGCCTCATTCCCCTGCACACAGCAATAAGCACATTTACAGAAGCCAGAGCACGTGGTTAATTATCTCACAGCAGTTACACCATTCTTGAGAGGGTGCACAATGCTAGGAGCTCATCTTTCAGGAATTTAGGGCAGAGGGCACCTGGTATAGAATGAAGTTTCCTTAACTATCACAATTATACAATGTATACAGATATATGTTTTATAAATATCACATGGTACCCATTAGATACTTATAAATTATTTGTTATTTTTTAAAGAACTTACCTAGTTAGTAATCATATGTTCACACTTTTAAAATAAATGGCCCTGACTAGGGAGACTGCAGTTAAATCCCGTACACACAAGCAAGAGGACCGAATTCAGATTCCCAGGATCTTTCCTGTAATTCCAGCTTCAGAAGACTGAAAAATATCATGCCCTGAGCAAACTGGCTATCTAAACTGTGTAACTGCAAGCTCGGAATTTGATTGAGAGACCTTGCCTCAGAAGATAAAGTGAAAGATCAACTGGACAAGATACCTGGGGCTGGAGAGATGGTTAAGAGCGCTTGTTACTCTTTCATAGAACCTAGGGTTCTGTTCTTGGCACCCATGCAGTGGCTCAGCTCACAACCATCCTTAACTCTAGGAGTAAATGCAGAGATCTAACACTCTCATCTGGTGTTCAAGAGCACTACACACACATGTTGTACAGACATGTATTCAGGCAAAATACTCATACGCATAGAATAAAAATAACATCTTTTAAAATAAGATTCCCAGTATCAATCTCAGGCCTCAAATGTAAATTTGTGCGCGCACACACACACACACACACACACACACACACACACACACACACAAGATGTATGCATACATATTCATGAACACATATGGCGAGACAGAGGCAGGAAGATTCCTAGGGTTTGCTGGCTCAATGAGTTTTAGATTCAGTGATTCTACCTCACAAAATAAATTGGAGAATATGGTGATTCTCCACCTCTGTATATCAATAGGGTGTGGCACTATTAGGAGGAATGGCATTGTTGGGATAAGTATAGCTTTGTTAAGAGTTTTGAGATCTCAGAAGCTCAAGCGAGGCCTAATGGTTCACAGTCTCTTCTGCTGCCTGTGGACCCAGATATAGAACTCTCAGTTACTTCTCCAACACCACGTCTGCCTTCGTGCCATGTTGCACCATGACAATAGTGGACTAAACTTCTGAACTGTAAGCCAGCCAGTTAAATGTTAATATTGGTGCATGCACCTGTGCATGTAGGTGTGGGTACATGCATGAGTGTGCACGTGGTTGTGGAGGCCGGGGAGCCAGCATCTGGTGTCTTCCTGTCTTGGGTGGGGTTTTATTGCTATAAACGGGGAGGCCAGTCTGAGGCAGCCTGGATAAAATGAGCCCTGCGGGTGCTGGCTGTGTGGTAACCCACAGCTGTGCTCCAGGTCTCTGTTTTTAGGACCTGGTGCTTTATTTTTCAAGCTCCAGTTCTGAGCAATGATCACGTGGCCTACTAATCTTTCCACCCTTCCTGAGTAGAGTGGCCTCCTTGTTTAAGAGCCACCAGGATCAGCTCTAGCTGGTAAGCACACCCTAGAGCGCCTGGGGGAAGGAATACAGAGCAACATCAGGTAGGAGACAGCCCATAGAGAAGCGCAACCCTGACTGGGGAGGAGCTCCACAGCCTGCGGAAGAGTGCCACACAAGCTGAGGAGTGCAGCAAAGCCGCAGAGGACTTGGCAGGACTGCAGCTTGATGTGGATGGAGTTAAGGTGCAACAGAAGAAACCCAGCAGACAAAGGCAGACAGTGGCGTGGATAAGCCTGATATTCCTGGGCAGGAGCGCAACCCCATTGTCCCAGCCCCTTGAGCTGAGGCCCCGCCTTACTGCCAGCGGATTGGCCTAGCCAGCACCACCTTGAGTCACCCGCCTCCAGGAGCGGCCTGGCCACGCCCACCTGTTGTGTCGCCCAGCACACTTTAATTTCAGGATTGTTGCGTCTATTCACTTAGCTCAAAAGCTGCTCTCTGGCGGCCTGGCGCTCAGTTTCCTCTTCATTCTGGTAACATGCCGGCGGCGCCTCTCGACCCCCCCCGCCGCAGGAGGAAGACCCACGCTTTCTGGTGGTGTTTCCTGGGCATCTGCGCAGAGGCCCTTCTGTTCCTGCTGTCTACTTTATCAGGTAGGAACCAGGAGAGAGTCTGTGTCTTGGAGATGCTGGAACCTGGCCTGCAGGCAGGTGGATAGCGAGGAGCTCATCTGAGGTTGGGATGGGCACAGTTGTAGTGAAGGATCTGGTAGAATTCTCCTAGGGGTATGCAAACTTGTGATGTGGAGACCATGCAGTCCCCATCCCCAAAGTGCAGACTTGCTTAGTGCGCAGCGCTTAAGGGGTGGGCAGTCTGAGAGGAGAGAGAATGGATGTCCATCCAGAGCCTGGCTGTGGCAGCCGCAGTGTGCACTGTTTTCAGAATTAAGAGTAGGCCTGGTCTTTGACCCTGGGAAAGGCAGGTTGCATTGCTTGTGCTGTGGGTAAGCAACTGTCTAGGTTTAGAGGGGAGGGAAAGTCACACCTGGATTGTTTTTACCTTGAGTCAAGTTTCCTTGTTGCCTGAGGCAGGATGGGTTTGGTTTACAAGTGGTTGTTTTGTTTGGCTTTATATTTTTATTAGTTTTTTTTTTTTCACATAGAACTTGTTTGAATGTATGCCTCACCCCCTCACCCCCGACTTGGAGACAATATAGACAGTGTCTGATGATATTACCAAGTGGCTTTGAAGCATTGTTTATCTTCCTTTGAAGACAAAGTCATAAAAACAAAACAACAACAACAAAAAAAAACTAAACATCACTCCTAAGACAAGAAGTATAAGTCGCACTCTGGTATTCACCCCAGGTAGGCAGAGAAAGGATAGGTGGGGCTGGCAGGGAGAGAGAATAAATAGTAGAACCACGAGGAGAAGAAGGAGAGGGGCAAAAGAGGGATGCAACCAGGGCAAAAAGCCAGGCAGCCACCAGCCAGCAGACATAACCAGTGAAAGTAAGGTATTCAGAAAGAAAGAAAAGTAAAAGCCCAGAGGCAAAAGATAAATAAAGAGAAACAGGTTAATTTAAGTTTTTTTTTTTTTTAAACTAGCCTGTAAAAATGTGCCTAAGCTAGCAAAACTAAGCTAGCCTAAGCATTCAAAACTAAGTTTCCATGTAACGATTTGGGAGCTAGTTGGTGGCCCAAAAGAGAAATCCTGGTTACGCCTACATAATCCTGTGCGCCTAGGCTGTATGTATTTTTATATCTCTCATTAGTAGCATCCATTCAGCAACATTTTCCTTCAATGTTCCAGGCTCTGCTGGTCTAAGGATGGATATGCTGGGATACAGTCACAAACCAGTCTTGTTTTTGTGATCTTCCACTGATTGTCCACACACATATAGGTGTATGGATATAAGCAAATACTTTATTATGCTTATAGATCCCCAGTGACAGATACATAGTAGATGATCTATAAACATTTGCTAACATTTATTAGGAGTGGCAACTATTAACCAAAGCTCAACACTAACGAATAGAACCATACTAGCAGAGTAAAGCTGCTCTGATTGGATTAAAAAAAAAAAAAAAAAAACACAAATGACTGGGGGTAGGACAAACTACAGTCCACACTCTGCCCCTTTAAACCACTGGCTTGTTACTGCTTTCCCCACATATGGAACCTTCCCCTGACATTACATATTTGACTGTCTTCTTGTCAAACTCCACTGGAGAGTTACCTCTCATGAAGACCTCCTATAACTACCCTCAGTAGACATAACCCACTTTACCCCCGTCTCAACTTGCAATCGCACTTTTTTTTTTTCTTTTTTGGTTTTTCGAGACAAGGTTTCTCTGTGTAGCTTTGGAGCCTATCCTGGCACTCGCTCTGGAGACCAGGCTGGCCTCGAACTCACAGAGATTCGTCTGCCTCTGCCTCCCAAGTGCTGGGATTAAAGGCGTGCGCCACCAACGCCCGGCGCAATCACACTTCTAAAACTATCATTTCTGTTCTCTGCCTCTCCCCATTGGAAAGCAGAGATCATATCTTTTTACACAGTTGATACTCCAAATGGCTGATTGTTTTGTGGTCTTAGTGTTGGCACTCTGACATAACTCAAGTGCCAGAATGTTAAATATCATATTGGCTAATGCACAGAGCACAGAGAAGATTCTTCCTGCCTGCAGGAGGAAAGTTCTTTAAAGAGCTCCATTTTTCACTGATATCTGTAAAAATTCACTTCACAAGGAATAGAAGAGGCAGGTACTAGCAGTAATAAGAAACCAATGGCTTTTTTTTTTTTTTTTTTTTGAGAATAATAGTGTTTGGAATAGACTTCAAGCTAAATGTTTAAGAAGACTCTGAAGCTATTTGAAATAGATGAAAACAGATAAATAAAATAAATAGGGCATAACATAAATGGAGGGAAAATGAAAAGGAAAAACAAGATACAATTTGAGAACTAAAAGATATGAAACCCGGAAAACATAAAAGGCAAACTCATTGTGCTAGGCAGGGAGAATTGAATGATAAAATAGGGGTCTCATTTTTGGAATGGCTCAACTTGTGAGGAAAAGGATTTGTAAGTGCCCGGCAGCAGAAACCTGTCATCAGGATTGCAGAAGAGAATCTGTTGAGGACTTTTAGGTTCTTCTCCTTCCTTCAGAAGAGCAGATGCTTATTTGAACAAAGCTGCAGCCTCCTGTCATGTCTGCTCTTGTATACCTATTTAGGTCTTTCTAAGCCCAGTAAATAAATGCTTATACTCTAGTATCTCAGTCCTTACTCTGTGTGCTATAATGTAAGGGAATAATCTTTATGTGGCCAGATGCTGAGTTATAAAATACTAGCAGACAGACCAAAAAAAAAATGGCTTTCCTTTATCCAATGAATAAATCTTTAAAATGACTATTTTCATTATTAAAATCATGACAATATAATCCTTGCAAGTGTTTTCTTGAACTCTTATGCCACTGTTAGGAGCTGATGCTGGTTATTGTAGCCACATTGATGACTAGATTTCATCTTAGCTATTGAACACAGATGTCATGTGACCTATGTAAGATACCTTGATAGGGAACAGCCCAAAGGAAGGGAACAGAGTACTGCTTCCAGAATTGAGGCACAAGATGTTCTTTACAGTTGTTTAGAAAGAGGAGAGAGCTGCTCAGTCTACATAGCTAGGAACTGGGCTGTAGAAATATGCAAGCAAAGACACCCCAAGGTGGGACACAGCTGATCAGCAACTACTTAGTTTGACACAAAAAAGACAAGAGCAATGTAGAGTGCTAAAGAATCATGAGAAGCAAGGGGCTAGTTTGGAACAGTTCAGGCTATGATGTTTTTACCTGATGTGTGGAACATCTTTGACTCCTTACTTAATACAACTTGAGTCTAAACTAGAGCTTCTGTGGTGTCCCCAAGCAATATAAAAGGCAATTTTTTGAGGACTAAAACACAGGATGGGATGGCATCTGCCTTGGGGAGTCCAGATAAGGACAAGGGTCATGGCATTGGCAGTGGTGCCCAGTGTGGCCTGCCCATAATGAGTATGAAGATAATAAGTTAAAGGACACCATATGCTTAGCACAGAGTGCTAAGTGTTTGCTATTTCTGATTTTTAAAAAATCCTCATCACTATTGTTCTAAGTTCTGATATGTTATTACTCTACTTCCAGGAAAATACAACCCACAGTATTTGTAATTCATTTTCTAATTATAGCAGTAATTCAGAATGAGTCCATAATAAACTAGTCAAGTGTAAATATTTTGACATGAAATAAACGTTAACACAGGGAAATGTTTATAGCTAAACTAGTAAACATTTGTTTTTAAGACTGGCTGAAAAACAGCAAAGAAAACTTGATTTTCAGATATCATCAAAGCAAATTCTCTGAATAGCAAAGAATTTGAATTTTGATTTAAAGAGGGTAAAGAATCAATCACAGAACTCATTCAACTTTGGTACTGGATACTAGAGAAATAATAATGAATGATACATAGTCCTTAAGAACAGGATGGTATCATATCTCTCTTCTTTAAAAAACCAAGACCATTTTTCATGTCTCCTTGTTTTACTTTTAAATAAAAGTTCAATTCATTCTGAAATAACCCAAAAGCTGATGTTATTTTAAAACAGTCTGGGATATTCTTGCATCACTGCCACTGCTTGAGTAAGGAAAGGCATGTACTAATAGTTTAGAATCTTGCTAAAAAATTTCTTTTTTTCTGTCCTTCCTGGCACAAAATAACATTCTTAGTTGATTAAAGTGGTATTCACACTTCATCTTCATGTTCTTGCCCTCTTATTTGTAGATGCCTGTGAACTACCCCCAGCGTTTGCAGCTATGGAACTCAAGGACGAGCCTAAACCCTACTACGAGGTTGGAGAGACAATACAGTATGGATGTAAAAAGGGTTACGTTTATCTGCTTCCGTTCTCCATGGTCGCTACCTGTGAGCCGAATCACACATGGGTCCCTATTTCAGATGACGGTTGTGTTAGTAAGTAAACTCAACCTTTTTTTTTTTTTTTTTTTTCTTGATTTTCAGACATTTCAGGGCAGGGTACATCTACCCCTATTGCAGTGATGCTTTTCCTATGTGAAACAAAGCTTTGATTTAAATGTGAGGTTTTGTTTTGTTTTGTTTTTTGTTTGTTTTTCAGGCTTTGAGAAATTTATAGGGAATCTTTTTTTTCTTAGAAATTTAGTTGATTTCATAATTGTTAATCTTGTACTTGTCCTTTGTATTAGACAAATGGAAAACATTTTCTGATACTGTGGTAAAACACCATGTTCAGGGCAACTTATAAAAGAAAGGGTTTAATTGGGCTTATGGTCTCAGCGGGTTAGAGTCCATGATGGTGGATCAAAGGTGTGGTGGCATAACAGCTGAGAGCTCGAATCTCAGAATGGCAAGTAGGATCAGGGAGTATACTGAGAATGGCACAAGTCTTTTGAAATCTCAGAGCACACCCCCACCCAATGACATCCTTTCTCTAGCAAGGCTATACTTCCTAATCTTCCTCAAACAGCCACCAACTGGGGACCCAACTTTCAGATGCTCTTATGGAGGACATCTTATTCAAATCACTATACCCTTATAATGTAACCATTAAAGAAAATAATCCACAAACTCAAAAGAAACCTGTATGATTTTCTCTTTATTCTGATTCAAGTGTGCCTGGCTTTGGAGTTGAATTAAAATTTTTATTGTTGTTTTCTTCTAGAAGTAAAATGTGCTAGATTACAGGACCCTTCATTTGGCCAAGTACACTACATAGATGGCAAAATTTCATGGGGTAGCCGAGCTCAATTTTCTTGTGTGGAGGGGTAAGTTGCTCCTTATGGGAAATAAGGTAAATGTTCCTGATCCCATTGTTCTACTTCTCTTTTTTAGTTTTCAAGTAAATTTGCTTTAATTTTGCTTACTATATGACAAATGGTACTCATTGCTAAACAACATTTGGGTACTTTATGGAGATAGGAGAGATGCTTAATCAATAAACAAATTGAAGGAAAACAAATCTGTACCACACTTGTTGTATCTAATAATAAGTCTATGATAAACATTAAGAATAATCTGCCAAGGGTGTTGGTTCATCTTGTAATTCTAGCCCTCAGGAGGATGAGGCAGGTGGCTCTCCATGAGTTTAAGGGCAGTCCGTCTATACAGTGAGTTCCAGGACAGTATAGGCTACATATCCAAAGGGGAAAGGTAATCATGGTGCCCTTACTGTTCATCGTCAAGTTACCTACTGCCAACTCAAAGTTAAAGTGGGGTTCTCATGAAATTGAGGTAGAACTAACTGCTAACCAAAGGAGAATTCTGGAAGGCAGTAACAAGTCAGAATGTAACCTAACTCATCCTTACCACCATGTGATGGGATATTTCAGTTGGAAAACATTTTTCAGACTTCTACATAGTCTGAAGTGTCTCCAAAGGAGGCATTAGCCACTAAGTAAGTCTTTCTTCACTAGAGCTCTCTTAGAAGTAATTGTGACTCTTGGGGAAAGTTGGCTGTGACTGTCACTAGAGAGTTTCATTGATAATTTTGTTTTTGTTTTTTGAGACAAGGTTTCTCTGTTTAATAGCCCTGGCTGTCCTGGAACATGTTTTATAGCCCAGATATCCTCCTGCTTGCTAGAATTAAAGGTATACACCAACATGCCTGGCAATAATTTTTTTTAACTTTATCAAGTAAAAGTACATTCAGGTAAAGCTATGTGGAGAAAATTTTCTAGGTACTTGAGGGAACCAAAAGTTTAGGCCATAAGTCTTTCCCAAAGACTAATCTTGCCGAGAAACCCAGTAGAGACAGAAGCTACCAGAGCAAAGTAACAAAGAATAGCAGATAAGAATACTTTGTGGTGATGGCATGAGAGTTCAGAATAATAATCTCTGAATTTAAATAATGGGGAGACTTGACAGAATTAATCATGAGTTTGTCATAGAAAGACATTAAAATCATATTAGAAAGAGATAACATGCTTTCTATTTGTTGTGTGCCAGACTCTTATTTATCTAATTCTCTTGAACAATCCTATGAGAGATGGGTGGGGAGGAGAGGAGAGGTGAGGAGAGAGAAAGAAAGGTATAACTATGTAACCCTGGCTGGCCTAGAGCTTGCTGTGTAGACCAAACTGGCCTTTAACTCACAGAAATATGCATGCTTCTATATCCTGGGTTCTGGGATTAAAGTTGTGTGCCACCACACCTAGCTATTTGTAAGTTTTTAACTGAGGAACATGAGAAACTTTAAATTGTTTGTCCAAGCTTGAGTAGCTTGTCAGTCATGGAAATAAGACTAGAGCCCAGGCAATCCTTTCCTAAGGAACCTTTCTCCTGTGCTTCATTCTCCCAGAGCAGAGTGGACGAGCAAAGACACAGAAGCAGAATAAAATGATTGTAGGAAATAGCAAAGATACCAGATCATATCAGATGTGTCTAGACACCACAGCTCTTGTACTGTGTGTTCACAGACACAAACTCTTTCATTAAAGTTTAGTTAGATTTTTAGTACTTTCATGATATTTAAGAAACCTATCCTTCCATAGGAAAAAAAATATCTAAAACTGTCCTTCATTATTGTGTGTGTCTTACCAGCTGCCAAAGAAAACGGTAACTTTTTCTTTGTTTATTTAGTTATTACTTAGTTGGCACGCCACTTCTACACTGTATGCTTAAAGGTGATGAAGCATACTGGGACGGTCCTTCTCCACGCTGTGAAAGTAAGTAAATTCTCTTTTTAAAATTTAGACTATCAGTTCTCAACCATTATGATTTTAGATTAATAAATACCCAAAAAACTTTTCTCCATGGTTGTGTCTATTGATATTAATCATGTTGGGTTTAGAATGGAGATATTTTTAAATAATTATTTTTAAGGACAATAAACTATATATTAATACATCTCACATGTTTTTATTTCAAATTTTAAAAGAATAGGGACACTGCTTTATGTTTTTGCAGATTTTTCAATATTTGACTTGGAGGAAGACATAGGGAGTTAGTTTGTTCAGTTATTAAAGTTTGTCGCTTCTGCAAAAACATTGTACTATAAAGATGAAAATAATACAAGATAGTATGTTAATATGATTCTAAGCCACCAGCCTATTGAATTAATGTACCTGTACCTCAAAACACATTTATCAACCAGTTTTCAGCTTGATTTTTTTCATCACAAGTGTTTTTCACCAGATGATCAGCATCTTTTCTATTGACTAGGACACTTAGCATGACCTCACAAACAAAGTCATTCTTCCCCTTAGGAAAATGACTGTAGTCCTGAAACATCATTTCTGTGTTAGTGGTTTAAATTTGAGTGATGGATTTTCTCATAGAAACCCTCTTCTAGATGAAAATTGAGGTTATAAATAATTTATAGAAATCCTGTATTGATGAATTTGTTGACAATAATTTATAGAACTTCCTAACACTGCCTTGAATAGATACACAACCTTACTTTTAACTTATTTCCTTTTTTTCTTTTTATAGAGATCTATTGTTTACCACCTCCAAAAATAAAAAATGGAACATACACCTTTAATGATATAGATATATTCCAATACCGTGAAGCGGTAATTTACACTTGTGATCCTAACCCAGGACCAGATAAGTTTTCCCTTATTGGAATGAGTGTGCTATTCTGTTCTGGCTACAAAACCTGGAGTAGCAAGCCTCCAGAGTGTAAAGGTAATCATCTTTCCTTCATTTGTAAATAGTTTTACCTAAATGTAAACACAGTGAGCATATGTCCTTCATCCTCTTATAAAACTGTTTTCTAATTTAATTTCATAGCTGTTAAATCAAAAAATAATTATAGTTATTGAGTTCCCTTCTCATTTTGTAGAGTGTCAGCCTATAGCCATGAGGTAAGCTAAATACTGACCAAAAATGATCAAAATTGGATTCAAAACAAAAACCTCTAATCTAGGAAACTGTGAAAACACACTACACACACACACACACACACACACACACACACACACACACGCAAACACGTGCACACATGCACATGAGGGGTGGAGGGAGAAAACAGCAAACAATTTAATAGGTTTTAGTAGTTTGCTACACCTACTGAAAACAATTAAAAATAGTCAAAGAAACAACCACAAAAGCAGAGGTGACAATTGGCTTCTCTTTATTGAGGCTGGGAAACAATGGTATCTATTAAGTACTAAAAGAAAAGTGAAATAACGAAAAATGAAATAATTAACCTATAGGTTTCTAGATATAAAAAAAACCTTCATGACAGAAGGTTTAAAAAAAATAAGTGAACTATTTCCAGGACTTTACTAGTAAACTTTTATTTTAACAATTTAACAAGAATTGCTAAAGGGGAGCTGGAGAGATGACTCAGTGGTTAAGAGCATTGGCTGCTCTTCCAAAGGACTCGGGTTCAATTCCCAGCACCCAAGTGGCAGTTCACAACTGTCTGTAATTCCAGTTCCAGGGTATCTGGCATCCTCATGCAGGCAAAACCCAAAATGTACATTAAAAAGAAAGAAAAGAGGGCTGGAGAGATGGCTCAGAGGTTAAGAGCACCGACTGCTCTTCCAGAGGTCCTGAGTTCAATTCCCAGCCACCACATGGTGGCTCACAACCATCCATTATGAGATCTGGTGCACACATCTTCTGATGTGCCGATATACATGGAAGCAGAATGTTGTATACATGATAAATAAATAAAATCCTATAAAAAAGAAAGAAAAATCTTAAAAAAGAAAAAAGATAATTTGAACTAATAAAAAAGTAAGTAAAGACTAGATTCAAAAAAAAAAAAAATTGCTAAAGGAAGCCCTGGGCTGGAAGGTAGTGGAACCAGACAGGGAAAAGGAAGAGCACTTGAGCTTACTATGGTGGGTGTGATCTGGTCTCAGCTGGTACTCAGATTTCACCTCACAGTAAAAGATGCCATAAGTATAGTGCCTAACCTAGCCATTTTTGTTCCTCTCCCACAATTCTCCTAGTGAATCAATCTAATAGATTGTGAGTTATTTTACTTAATGAATGGGGAAGAATGGAAAATACTCTGTGTACTGGCGAAGGCTGAGTATTAATGTGAATTTTTGAGGGATCTGTGTGCTCATATTTGGAACACAAAATATATCTCTAACTCTGGGTTGTAGTTTTAAAGTTTCAGAAAATTGATAAGAAAAATAAACCAGATATTTATTAAGTTCTGGGTGATTTTCTTCTTTTCAGTGGTAAAATGTCCACTTCCATTACTACCAAATGGAAGACAGGTAGCAGGATTTGCCAGAAGATTTTCCTATCAATCAACAGTGACGTTTGAGTGCGAGGTCGGTTTTTATATGCAGGGCAGTGACACAGTGGTCTGCAGCGATAGTAGCATTTGGGAGCCTCCAATCCCAGTATGTCTTCAAGGTATAAAAAAGATGTCTTATTTCCTTTATTTTTCTGGTAGTTTTTGTCTGCTTGCTTGTTTCAAAATTTATTTATTTGATGTTAGATTCCCAAAAAGCAATCATTTTGATACATAGCTCAGGCTTATAATCATTCCTGTGCCATACATATGACAAAATTCTGCTGTTGTGATTTTTTTCTGGGGATTTTAGCATGTTAAATAGATCATTTCTGCATAAAGAATGATTATGCAGAATAAGAATATTTCTGCATAAAAAGGGGATTGCAGCCGGGCGTGGGTGGCGCGCAGCGCACGCCTTTAGTCCCAGCACTCGAGAGGTAGAGGCAGGCGGATCTCTGTGAGTTTGAGGCCTCCAGAGCAAGTGTCAGGATAGGCTCCAAAGCTATACAGAGAAACCCTGTCTCAAAAAACCAAAAAAAGGGGGAGGGGGATTGCAACATTTTTTTTAGAGTAAATTGGAGCCTATTATTGCTATATAACTAAGTCGAGAATGAAAGACATGGCTCTTGGTAGTTGAAAGGTTGGTCTTAATTACATTATTTTGTTTTCCAATGTTGCCTAGCCTGGTATAAAAATCTCCAGCTTTTGAGTTATTTGGGTTTGGTAAAGTTCTGCTTACATTTTTCTAACAGTATTTTAAATTTCTAGTGCTTGACCCAATCGACACTGTTACTTTGTTTTCTAGTGTCAACTCCCAGTTCAAAATCTCTAATTTTCACTCTCATATTTAGTAATTTCCTGCTTATGTGTATATATATTTTAAAACATAAATTCCTAGTGATTTTTCAGATACCCTTTAAATTCCTGCAGTGTCTATTTACTCATCATTTTTAGTACATTTAGTAGTAGAGAAAGAATGAATATATTTGCAACCATTTCATTTGTCAGATTTTATTTGCTATAGTTTCACACATGAATAGGAATGTGAACTTGGAAAAGTCACGTCAATTTTAAATGTATATTTCTATGTGTAAAATGATCTAGTCCCTTTTTTTTTTTTTATTGTGTTCAAGACTTAAGTTGGATGCCTTTAAAGGACTTAGAACAATACCTGGCATGTAGGATGTTCTGAAAGCTAGCTACATGTCTTCTCTACTTAAATCAATCTTAATGAAAAGGAAGGTCCTTAGCTTCTGTTTCTTGATGTGTGTTTTCTGTCTTCATTCTTTTCTCCTCCCCCAAGTGATTTGCTTACACTTTTGCTCCTTTTGTTAGACTCGGGTAATGTTTCATTTCCAGAACTATGGACAGTTTGGGGGTGAAAGTCTTGTTAATTATTTTGTTTATGGTCTTGTCTATACCCAAGATGGCCTCAAAGTCACAGTACTCTTGCTCAGTCTTTTCAGTGCTGGAATTAGAGGTACCCACTATGCCCAGCTTTTCAGTTTTTTTTTTTTAAGTAGTGTATACAAATAGAAAAGTGTGTTGCCTCCAAAATGAGCCTTGTATTTTCCATTCCTCCCCACTCCTCTAACCTACTTAAATTTTTTGTTTGTTTTGTTATTTTTGTCTTTACCAGGCAGCATTGACAACAGAAACTAGATTTCTTAATAACTGAGATCTAGGAAGCCTCTGCTGAAATGAAATAGAAGGTTTGTTGGAGACTCCTAATTGGCTGCTGTAAGCATGGAGAAGTTGCTATGATGGGAGAGACCATCATTCCCACTTCAGTGTTCCTTGCTGTGGTTCCCCTTGGTGCACGGGAACCCACACAGGGTGATGGGAAGACCATTAGATGGGCCTGTCTGTGCACAGGATCCTAGTTTGACTCTGTCTAATCAAACTGACTTCATGTAATGAACTTTGGATTCTTGTTGCTTTAGCAAGGACATTGAACTCAACTAAATCTCAGTTATTGGTTCTAACTTGTTTAAAATATTTCCTATGTCCTTAATATTTTAAAGGATGGAGAGATTTGAGAATTGTGCATGCTCACTTGCTTACCCAGTAATTAGAATGCCTTTTCCTCTTTTCTTCCTTCTTTCTTTCTTTCTTTCTTTCTTTCTTTCTTTCTTTCTTTCTTTCTTTCTTTCCTTCCTTCCTTCCTTCCTTCCTTCTTTCTCTTTCCTTTCTCTTTCTACCTTTCTTCCTTTTTTTTTTTTGAGACAAGATTTTCACTATGTACTAGAACAAGCTGTGTAACCAGGTTGGCCTGGAACTCACAAAGATCTTCCTGCCTCCCAAGTGCCAACATGCCCAACTTCTGGAATACATTTTGATAATTTCTACAAGAACCTGAGTTGAATTTTTGTTGAAAGAAATTTTTGAAAGAGTTGACAGTAAGCACTTGACAAAATATTTATAAAACACTAGTTTCCTATTTGAAAGACAAGATATGTGAGAAAAGGCTCATAAGAAATGAAACTAAGAGGAATCCTTCTGTTAAAAACATATCTTGGTAGAATGGTCAGTCACTTTTTATTGTCCATTAGGAAAAGACATGCATTGGAAAGCAGCAGCAGCAGCAGCCTGCACTGGTGTTATGGTGGGTTTGATGGTATGTGAAAGGTGGAGGGATTACAATGTCCATTTTATGGTATCTGACTTGTTAGGATGCATATGTTTACCTTGAACACATTCTCTTTATGATTTATTTTTAGTTACCTTCTAAGATTTGTATTTGTAAAATACAAAGCTGTAATGAACATTCTTATACATAGGTCGCTGCTATTATATATGTAGAATGAACATATTTATAGACTAAATTCCTAGTAGAACTATAAAGTACAGAAAGTATGTGTATTTTTTACTTTGATAGGTAATATTTAAAAAATTTCAATATTAGAATTAAATCTATAACTTTATATTAATAAGTTTAATGAATTGGTACTTTATTTTTCTAGGTCCCTTGGATATTCATCCCACCAAGCATCCAGTTTACAATTACCCAGGTTTGATAATTCTTTATCCTACTGATACAGTTAAGAGTTCTATGAGAGATAGATGAAAAATAGTGTCTTGTTTTGTCATTTCTTCATGTTTTAATAAGGCTGAACTTTTTAAAATTACATTTTAAAGCATCTTTTGAGATGGGTTTTCACTATGATACTTAGGCTTTCTTCAAATCCTCATCTTAAATGATCTTTGGCTTTAGGTTCTTGCCACTGGGTTCTTGCCAATGGTCATTTATTCATATCCTCTTCCCATTTTTTTCTAAAATAGTTTATTGCTTTATATACTGCTGGATATAGATTTATTTTTATAGATTTAAATTATATAAATAGTGTTACCAAAGTTAATTGCTACTAGTATTTTTAGGATTTTTTTATTTACTTCTGTACATCAACATTTTCTTATTTTTCCTTTCCTTTTTTCCCCTCATTATTTTATGGTGTTTGTGTGTGTGTGCGCATGTGCGTGTGCATATGCATGTATGTGGATGCAAGTGTGTGGTATATGCATGTGCTTGTGGAAATCTGAGGTTAATGTTGAGAATTATTCTCATTCTCTCTTCCATCTTATTCCCTGTGGCAGGATGTCTACATCAAATTCAGAGCTCACAGATATAGCTAGTCTCTCTAGTCTCTAAAAATCCTATCTCCACCTTCCAAAGCTAGAAATACAAATAGACTGCCTATATTTATGCAGGTGTCTGGGGATCCAAACTCAGATCATCACACTTATGTGGCAAGTGCTTGATCTCTAAGCTACCTTCCCCACCCACATTTTCTCTTCTTTTTTTTTTTTTTAAAGCAAAAATCATATCAAACTGCACATATTTTTCATTGATTTGTTGTTTCACTTAATGTCTTAGATTGGCATTTAGTTAGATTTATTCCTATAACAGTTGCATAGTATATGCTATACTTTACTAATCTCCTGGTGGTCATGTGTGTCCAGAAGTTTAACATAAGTGGGTGAATAGATATATTAATTATTCCACCAATGACTATGAGTTGAATGTCATATAAAAAGCTTTAGGTGAGAATGGGGATGGAGAGATAATTTAGTAGCTAAGAGCTCTTGTTCAGTACCCCTGGGTTGATTCTCAGCATCCATGTGGAGTGGCTCACAACCAACTGCAACTCCAACTTCAGAGGATCTGACACTTCCTGCCTCCTCAAGTACCTGCATACACATGGCACACACACACACACACACACACACACACATAGCAACACATGAATTAAAAAAATAAAAATAAATCTTTAAACAAAAAGAGGCTTTTGGCGTTCCCCTGGTGGGAATTACATAATTGTATTCATATATCTGAGTTCTTTGTACCAAATTGTTGGTACATTTGAAACACCTGATGGTGTTTGTGGGGAGGGGTAACAGGTTCCTCTCTTCCTCACCCCCACTTAGGGGATAAAAGGGGCTAAAAGTGTTGTCAGCTAGGAAGAAGACGGCTTGCCCAACTTTTTATTGTACATAAAAATCACAGGTATTCCAGCCCTCTTTCTCCTTTGAATACTACCCATTCCTGCACCACAGTTGTCTTTAAAAAAAAAAAAAAAACTATAATACTCTTATTTTTTTTTAATGTTTGACTTTTTTTTTTTAAATTCCTAGACCACTCCTATGACAATTTAACCAGACAATTCTTTGGCATTACACACACATTCCTGTGTAATCAGTTCTCTTTCATCGTCCCCAAATGGAACTTCCATTGTTTAATGGTGGCTTCCCTTTCCTCCTCCTCCCAGAACTTGCTGAACACTGTTCTCCTTGTTTTCCCCTATAACTTTGTCTATTCTAAGTATTCCTATACCTAGGTCATACAGAATTTGTCCTTTTGTGCCTTGCTTACTTCATATAACTAAATCCTTCTAAAACTAAATCTTTTTGAGATCCATGTAACTTTCATCTTGTGGGACTCTTATGTTTGAATAAGCCTCCATTATTTGTATTTCCACATTTTGTTTGTTTGTTCATTTTGGTAAACTAAGGTTGCTTGTGTATACCTCCTAGCTATTCTGTACAGTCAAAGTTTCCCCTTTTAATTCCTCTGGTGCACATCTAGGAGTAGAACTTGTAGGTCAAAAGGTGATTCAATTTCATTTTGTTTTTTGAGGAAATGTATTGTCTTCCACAGCAGCTACATGATTTTATAGTCTTCACTAGCAGTGACAAAAAAGCTACAAATTTCTTACATCTTCGTTCTTGGTTGTACTGGTCTTTTGTTTCACTTTGTTTTGTTTTGCTTTTGTACCAATAGCCATCTGTTTTATGTTGCTGTAACAATACCAGATGAGATAATTTATAAAGGACAGAAACTTATCTCTCATGGTTCTGGATTCAGGGAGATATGTAATGTCAAAGTGTTGCTGTTGGCAAATGCCTTCTTGCTACATCATAACATGCCAGAAGGGAAAAGAGAGGTAGGAAAAAGTGTATGAACATGGGCAGATTCCCTGCTGCAATAATGAACCCAGTCTCTAGAAAATGGCATGACACATTTGTGCCCTCATCACCTCAATACCCCTGTGATGACAAGAATTTCTACATGAGTAGAAAGCAAACATTCAAGCCATGATACTAAGTTAGTAGATACGATTGTATATGATTGGTTTTATTTCCATTTCCCTAATAATAGTAAAGAGTTGATCATCTTTTCATGAGCTTGTTGGTCATCTGTGTATCTTATTTGGAGAAATGTCTATTCAAGTCCTTGGACTTCAAATTGAGTATGTTGCTACTGAGTTTTAAGAGTAATTTGGATATTCTGTAATAGCTTATCAAATATGAAATTTACAAATATTTCCTCTCCTGTGCATTGCTTTTTCATTATGCTAATGCCCTTTAGTGCACAAAACTTTTTATCTCAATAAATTCAATTAGTCTACTTCGCTGTTATTGTGGCCCATACTTTTCGTCATGTTCAAGAAATCCCTGTCAGATCTAGTCATGAAGTTGTTCCCCGTGTTTTCTTCTATAAGTTTTATAGTTTTAGACATTATCTTCAATACTTTGATCCACCTAAGTTATTATTTTTTATATATTTTAAAGTTCTAACCTCATTCTTTTGATTGAAAATATCAAATTTTCCAATACCAACTGGTGAAGAGATTACCCTTTCCCAATGACTGTTCCTGTATAATATTATTTTTTAAAAAATCACTGTAAAATGTGTATGTGTATTTATTTCTGAGTTCTATTCCATTCCATAGGTCTGTATGCCTATCTTTTTTTAACCAATAATACTGTTTTAGTTAATATATGTTAGTACATTTTCAAACCAAGAAGTACGAGTTCTCTCAACTTTGTGTTCTTCAGATTTCATACTGATGGATGATCCTATGGTCCACACTACACTATACTACTATACTATACTATACTATACTATACTATACTATACTATGGACCATAGGATAAATTTTTCTATTTCTGCAGAAAGAAAGCATCATCATTATTTTAATAGGGGTTACGTTAAGTCTGTAAAATGCTTTAAGTATTATAAACTGTTGCAGTGTTCCCGCCCAGTTCTGCCTCAGAGCCCCCACATAACACATGAGACACTATATTAATTATAAGCTGTTAGCTGGTGACTAGGATTTCTTATAAGCTAGCTATGTCTTAGGTATTAACACATAACTACTAATATATGTATTTCTACATGGTCTTATCTTACTGAGAACACCAAACTCATACATCCTCTCCTCTCGGGATCACATGGTGACTTCCCTTTTACTACACTTCCCAGAATCCTCCTTGTCTCCTACTCCTGCCTGTCTTGATTCTATATTGGCCAACAGTGTTTTATTCATCAATCAATAAGAGAAACATATGTACGGAAGCCTTCCCCCATCAATAAACAGCTTGAAATAATCTTTTGTCTAAGAAGCACATGATGTTTATATTGGGATTTGTTGTTATGACAAAACACTATGAGAAACAATTTAAAATGAAAAAGAAATATATTTTCACTAACTGTTTAAGAGGTTTTGTTCTGCCGGGCGTTGGTGGCACACGCCTTTAATTAATCCCAGCACTCGGGAGGCAGAGGCAGGCAGATCTCTGTGAGTTCGAGGCCAACCTGGTCTCCAGAGCGAGTGTCAGGATAGGCTCCAAAGCTACACAGAGAAACCCTGTCTCGAAAAACCAA